TTCCTTTTCCTTTTTCATTTGAAACAATTCATGTAAGATGTAGTGATTTACAAACTAATAATCTGGGAGTTGTTACAAAGAATAGAGAAGGAAAATAGAAGCAAAAACAATTAGGAGGAAAAGAACTGGGTTGACCTGTTGGTTGACTGACCTTAGCACGACTGTGAAAAGGTAAGACTTGGTACTAGGACTTGGCTACTCTTTGAAGATTGAAGTTTTATATAGATATAGAAAAAGCTTAATATTGGTTTAAGACAGTTCAGAGTGGAGAGAGGGCTCAGCTAATGTTTATTATCGTACTTAGTATGTAACAGAAGCAAATTTCAAACAAGTGCTTCCTTCCCTGAGCTAGAGCCCATGCTGTCTGCTTTCTGTCTCCGTCTCTTTGGTGAGCGCACATGCTCTATAGCAAAAATAAAAATAATAATGATGATTATTATTACCTCCTGTTTCCCCAAGATGACCTCATGTATGTTTATGTTTATATAATGTAAAAAGATAAAACTCTAACTTTGATTTTTTAAAAAAATTAATTTATTATTATTATTTTTTAATTTGCTATAGGACACATGCACTCACCAGAGAGAAAGAGGAAAAAAAAAGGCACCAGGTCTGGGACTCGAGCTGTCATTGGTCATGTGGGAGTCCAGTAACTAAATAGCCACACCACCTGCTGGCTTCCAACTATTTGATTTTTTTTTTTTTTGAGAGGTTTTTGCTGTAGTGTGTGTTTGCTTGCCAGAAAGACAGAGACAGAGAGATAGAAAGCGAGAAATCACCCCCCTCCCCCGGCCACGCTGCAATCCCTTCTCCTCCATTCCCCTCTCGAGATCTTGGGCACACACGCACACGCACCCAGCGTGAGTTTAAACCACCGGAACCGGGATTCAAACTGTGGTCGACTATATGGGAGTCCAGTGACGTAGCCATTACATCATCTGCTGGTCCCACCAACTATTTGATTTTTAAAAAAGAAGTTCTCTAAAATGATATAAGCCCTCATAGGAGAAAGTAAGTTCTTATTAATTTTAGTGAAAAGTTAATCTTTTATCAACTTAATTTTATAATGTAGATGTGACAGCATAGAAAAACTAAAGGCCCAGATACCGAAGATGGAACAAGAATTGAAAGAACCAGGACGATTTAAGGATTTTTACCAGTTTACTTTTAATTTTGCAAAGAATCCAGGACAAAAAGGATTAGGTAAGAACTTCTAAAAATTATATTTGGTGTTTCAGATATATTCAAATAGATCTGTAACGTCACGTTTGTAGTAGAAATTTATGTTCTTTTGAGCATAAAGTTATTGTACCAATTATTGAAAAATAGGAAAAAAAAGTAGTGAATTTGGAATCAGAAAATACTGTGCACATTGAATAGTAGGGTTACTCTCGGTACCATATGTGAACAACTGTGTATATTTTTTTGTAAAAGCTAGAATATAGAAAATAAATAGTTGTTAAAATTACACCTACATCTATTTGTTTATGCATTCATTCACTCATGTTCATGATTCAGAAGATATTATAGGATCTTAGGATCTATAGAGATAGCATCATAAAATTCCTTTTTAAAAACAATTTATTGTTATTATTAATTTGCACCCACCAGAGAGAGAAAGCAAGCAAGCTGTCTGAGACTCAAACCACAGTTGACCATGTGGGAGTTCACTGCCTTAACCACTGTGCAACCTGCCAGTACCTGTTTTTTGTTTGTTTTTGTTTTCCTTTTTTTTGCCTTTTTAAAAGCTTGATTTATTTCTTCCATGGGAGAAACAGCAGGAGAGAGACAGGCATCCAGCAGGGTCCCCATACCAAAATCCACCCCCAGTACCAGCCAGCCCAAGTCAGGGGCCCGTGCCTGCCTGCTGCGCTCAGGGAGGTCCTAAGACACAGGCCAGGGCCTCTCTGCTGTGAGCCCCACTGCACCACCACCACCACGCCGTGGCCTGCCCCAAGCCTCCCTGTATTTTAGATTAGAGCAGGGGAAAATGGAGATGAATGGGTCATATAAGCAGAGACGAGCCAAGGAAGTGGTAGAAAGCTAGAAAGGAAGGGGTAGATGTACTTGGCAGTGGTGAATTGGCCTAGAGTGACTAAACGTGATGGAATTAAAGGCTTACAAAATACTGGGAAAGCAAAATTGTAGGCTTGCACTGTGGTGCAGTGGTTATTCCTTGCTCAACACAGGACGGATCCTGCTGGGCGTGTTCAGATCCTCAGCCGAGTGCACTTGCAGGTGTCCGACCCTGGGGCGGGGTGCTGGAGAGTGGACTGTGTGACCGGGCCCTGTGCAGGCTTCTCCGTCTCTCAGTCTCAGCCTCACTAACAAGTGCTTTATCATGAATAATGGGGAGAAAATTCTAAGTAATGAAGCCTCCTTTCTAGCTGATTGTTCATTATATGTTAGAGTTTCTTCTTTTCTAAGAATTATTTATTTAATTTTATTATTATTATTATTATTATTTAACTTGCTATAGCGCATGTGCACTCACCTATACACTTTACACTTAAAAATGTTAAATGGTAAATTTTATGTATTATATGTATTTAAACACAATGAAAATTTTATTTTGAAAACTTCCCCCAAGCAACTGAATGTACAATTACAAAGGGTGAATGCACTTGTAGAATATGGACTTCAGCTAATATTAAGATATTCATATTCATTCATCAATTATAAATGTGTAAGATGTTAAAAACAGTGAAAACTGATGGAGGAGGAGAGGAAAAGAAGGATATTCAGGAATCTGTACTTTGCTCAAATTTTCCATAAACCTAGCACTGAAAAATGTAGTCTATTAATTTTTAAAAAGAAAGGCAAATATAATAAAAGACAAATCATAGCTTTGTTCTTTGTTTTATATTGGTGTTGGGTGTCAGGAAATCTAATGATTTGTTTAATTGAAGAGCTTAATTTAAAAGAAAAGTTTTCTTGATAACCTAAGGGTTCACCAGGTTCTTAAATGATGAGATTTGGCAGAAGGGAAATTAGAGGGCCATGAGAGCAGGAAGGCCCCGCACCAGCAGGGAGCACAGCAATGACAGCGCCGATTCACTTACAGTTGTGCCGAGTATGAGAGCTAGTGACCTCCATACTGTTCTTGACTTTCTGTCACCTCACCTTCTGGTGCACCGGGATAGTAGGCTGCTTCCTCTGCTACCGTCTCCTCTAGTCACCTGCCATTGCTCTGGACCATTGTTTGGATACGAGATTGGAAAGGGATTTCTTAAGTCCTCTCTGAAATCTACCCTGCACAAAATAGCACCTGAGCCTTTGCTGACCTAGCCTCCACTTCTGAATATAGAGCGACCAGACATGTCCAGGTGAAGGGAGCTGTCCGTTCCTAGCAAGAACACTTACAAGTGTGGTGAATGGGATCTTTCTTTTTTTTTTTTTTTTTTTTTTTGTGCGAGGTTTTTTTGTTGGGGGTTTCAGACAGACAGAGACACAGACAGAAAGCGAGAAATCACCCCCCAGGGGGGATAGCCACGCCACAATCCCTTCTCCTCCATTCTCCTCTTGGGATCTTGGGCACACAGGTGCCTGGTGTGAGTTTTAAGCCACCGGGTCCGGGGCGCAAACCGCAGTTGACTACATGGGAGTCCAGAGACATAGCCATTACGCTAACTGCTGGTCCCGTGAATGGGATCTTTAAATGCTGAGATTTCCTCTGGAGGACAAGAGCAACAGTAGGCATTGCAAAGACAAAGACGTTTTTCCTTGTTAAGCTCACATTTTTGTCCTCATAATTGCTGCTGTTGCTCTCACTGGTCCTTCAGATTAATGTGGAGGAAGTCTAACCACTTAAAGATCACACATGCTGGGATCAGCAGGTGGCGTGGTGGTTAAGGCGCTGGACACTCCCACATGGCCAACCAGGGTTCGAGTCCTGAATCTGGTGGCTTGCTTTCTCACTTCCTTCTCTCTCTCACTCTTACCTTCTCTCTCTGGTCAAATTAGAAAATAAATGAATGAATAAATAAAATAAATAATTATTGAAAAAAAGATTACACATACCAACCTCTTGTCTTTTTTTTTTTTCAGGCTGGCACCTCACTTGTTTTAACTATTCTGCACTTGAGATACTTGTTATTTCTGTATGTCCACCCAAATGTGTTTTCAGTTTTTTGGTTTTTCTCAAAATAGAGCTTTTAAAGCTGAACATAATATTCTAGGAGGCTCTTTTTTTGGGGGGGGGAGGTTTTTGTTATAGGGTACGTCCGCTTGCCAGAGAGAGGGAGAGACAGAGAGACATAAAGCAAGAAATCACCCCCCGGGGGGATGGTCACGCTGCAATCCCTTCTCCTTCATTCTCCTCTGGGGATCTTGGGCACGCACGCACACGTGCCCGGTGTGAGTTTTAAGCCACCGGGTCCAGGACGCGAACCACGGTCGACTACGTGGGAGTCCAGCGACATAGCCATTACGCTAACTCTTTAATGTAGAAAACCACGGCTCTGTTATTTTTGCATTGTGTTATTTTGTATTCATTTTATTAATTTGGTCAGAGATCATGTGCAATTTAGCAGCCATGGACTGTCTTTCAGGACCACACTTGAATTTACTTTGGGCTAGAGTACACAGGTCATTTTCTTGGGAACTATAGTTCAGGTAGAATCTTAGATTGTGCAGCTGACTTGAAAATTGTAACATTATTAGTTAAATATTTAATATGTAGATGTAGTTTTACAGGTTTTTTTTTTTTTTTAAGATATTTTTGCTGTAGGGAACCAGCAGTTAGTGTAATGGCTATGTCGCTGGACTCCCACGTAGTCGACCGTGGTTCGCATCCCAGACCCGGTGGCTTAAAACTCACGCCGGGCGCGGGTGCGTGCGTGCCCAAGATCCCGAGAGGAGAATGGAGGAGAAGGGATTGCGGTGTGACCATCCCCCCTGGGGGGTGATTTCTCACTTTCTGTCTCTGTGTCTCTCTCTGTCTGTCTGGCGAGCGTACGCGCCCTATAGCGAAAACCCCTTCAAAAAAAAAAAAAAAGATATTTTTGCTGTAGAGTGTGTGTACTCACCAGAGAGACAGAAAGCGAGAAATCACACCTGGGGGTTCCGCCACGCTGCATTCCCCTCTCCATCTTCCTCTCAGTATTTTGGGTATGCATGCACATGCGCTTGGTGTGAGTTTCAACCTCTGAGCCTGGGACTCGCAGTTGGCCATTGGGAGTCCAGCACCCTAACCACTATGTCACCCGCTCACCCCAGTTCCATAGTGTTTTAAAGAGCATTTTCATCTATATAATGAAGTTCTCATAACAACCCTTGAGCTAAGTAAAAAAAAATCACCCTCTCCATCAAATAGATAAACTCACAGTGAAAGGACGGACTTACTAAGGTCATACAACTTTTAAAGTTAATGGAGCCTAGAAGTAGATTTCAGATGGCACATTCTATATTCTTTTTGTAATATTATGTTGTGCTAACTATTGATAGATATTTGTAAGTAAATTAGACATTGTAAATAGGATTTTAAGGGCTAGCAGGTGGTATGGTGGTTAAGGTGCTGGACTCCCACCTGGCCAACTATGGTTTGAGTCTCTCTCTGGTGAGCCCATGTGCCTTATAGCAGGTTACACAATAATAATGATAAATTAAATAAAGAATTCTTTAAAAAGTAAATAAATTGGATTTTAAATTATCATTCCATTTTCCCTAGTAAGTTTGTAACATTTTTTTCCCCTGAGGGACTGCATTTGTATCTAGTAGCAATTCGTTTCTATATTCTTTATTCACTTAATCAGTCATCTTTTATGAAATCCCATGTTGATTTGTGTTTAAAGAATAAAATTAGGAGTATCTCTATCTGTGTTTTAAATTTTGCTATAAGGGCTTAAGGATTCTGCAAGTGCTTCGATTTTAAGCAGTACTGTTATTAGAATTTGCTTGTCTCGCTTTTTCTACATTTTCCTTCCATTTATTCTTTTTTCTTTTTTTTAAATTTTGTCAGAGGGCACGTGTGCTTGCTGGAGAGAGACAGAGAAAGACACACAGAGGGAAAGTGATGAAGCACACGTCCCGTGGATGATGGTCATGCTACGATCCCGTCTCCATTTCTCCCACCCCTCAGGATTTGGGGCATGTACGTTCACATACCCAGCATGCTCTTCAAGCTGCTTCTTCCGGGACTCTATCCATGTAGTCAGCCATGTGGGATCTGACTGCCTTCACAACCACACCACCAGCTGGTCCTGCCCCCCTTTTGGGTTTCTAAGGGTCTGTGTATTTATCAGAGAGACAAAAAGGGGAGAAAGCACCCCGTAGTGGGGCATGGTCACTGCAATCCCTTCTCTTCCATTTCTCCATCCTGTTGGGATTTTGTGCGCACATGCTGGAACACAGGTTCAGCATATCTTTTCAAGTCACTAGGATGGCAGCCATGTGGGATCCGACTCCTTTATCCTCTGGGCTATGGGGCTGTCCCCTTCCATTTATTGTAACTCTTGTTTCTTCATACTTTATCAGTGAATTTGCACTGTTTCCTAACACTGCTTCAGAATCTATAATAATTTTTTTGGTAGAAGTTTTTGCCTTAGGGCACATGAGCTCGCCAGAAAGAGAAACAGACAGTGAGAGAGAGAGAGAGAGAGCTGTCACCTGCTAAGGGGGATGGCCATGCCTCAGTCCCCTCTCCATTCTCTTCCCAGCATCTTGGGCATGTGTGCATATGCACCTGGCATGAGTTTCAAGCCACTAGGTCTTGAGACTCGAATCGTGGTTGGTCATGTGAGAGTCTAGTGACATAATCGCTACACAATCTGCTGGCCCCTACAATGATAATTCTTTTTTTCTTTTTTTTTGGAGAGTTTTTTTTTGGTTTTTTGTTTTTTGTTTTTTTGTTTGTTTGTTTGTTTGTTTTTGCTATAGGGCACATGCGCTCACCAGACAGAGACAGAAAGCGAGAAATCACCCCCTAGGGATGATGGCCACGCCGCAATCCCTTCTCCTCCATTCTCCTCTCTGGATCTTGGATCTTGGGTACACACTCACACATGTCTGGCGTGAGTTTTAAACCACTGGGTCCAGGACGTGAACCGCAGTCGACTACATGGGAGTCTAGCGACATAGCCATTACACTAACTGCTGGTCCCTACGATGATAATTTTTTTTAAGAATTTTTTATTTCATTTTACTCATCATTATTATTTTTTTAATTTGACACAGAGAAAGTGAGAAAGCAAATCATTAGTTCCAGGACTCAAACCGCAGTTGGCCATGTGGGACTCTGGGACCCTAACCACGCTGCTACCTGCTGGCCTCTATGATAATAATTTTGTGAATGTCTGCAGATAAATGGTAGCTATATAAGGGTGCATGTATTACTTGCTAGGTGCTGGTGCAAATGCTTTGTGTGTGTTTACTCATTTAGTTTTTGACAACCTAGTGAGGGGTTCATACTATCCTCATGTCAAACTGAATCACAGAAAGGTCAGCCTAGTTGCCCAAGGTGACTTAATTTTGGCAGAGATGGGATTTAAGAAACTGAAACCTGGGACCAACTAGCAGGTGGTGTAATGGTTACATCGCTGGACTCCCACATGACTGACTGTACTTTGAGTCCTGGACCAGTGGCACAAAACTCACGCCGGGCTTGTGGCCTGGTCATCCTCCTCCTGAGGCCCGATTTCTCACTTTCTGTCTCTCTGGCGAGTGCACATGCCCTATAGCAAAAATCTCTCTTAAAAAAAAAGATGGGAGACCAGCAGGTGGCATGGTTGTTAAAGCTCTGGACATTCCCACATGACCAACCACAGTTTGAGTCCTGCACCTGGTGGTTTGCTTTTCACTCTCCCCTTCCCCCGTGTCTCTCTCTGGGCAAATTAAAATAAATGAATGAACAAATAAAATAAAATGAAGAAATTGTTAAAATAAAAAAAGAGAGAGACTAAAACCTAAAACCTAGTTTTCCTCTACTACTCACTAAAAACCACTGGTTTATGCTACTCTCTAAAAGCCACCAGGGGTTTTCCAAATCCAGCTGTTTGTGGGTATCAGTTGTGCACAGCCGGTAGTCTGACTGCTGTGTTAGGGCAGCTCTCTAGGCCTTTCTTTTCATTTCTCAGACAGTTCTGTCTGAAAGGCCATTTTTCCTATGCTTGTGAGAATTGACATTTTATCCTTATAAAATTAAAAATATATATATTTATTTTTATTTATTATTATTTAATCTGCTGTAGAGCATGGATGCTCACCAGAGAGAGAGGGAAAGTGAGAGAGCTAGCCGTCAGCTCTGGGACATGCATTTGGACATGTGGGAGTCGAACTGCCATCGGACATGTGGGAGTCCATTGCCCCCACCAGCACATCACCTGCTGACCCTATCCTTCCATAATTTAATCTTACGTTTTTCAACTCTTAGTTGTAACTTATTCACCTTCTTGAGTCTTCCTTTTTCCTTCAAAACATTTATTGACTGAGAGCATGGTGTCGGGAACATCTTAAAGTCTATCTAGGGAAGTTATGATGTCTTCAAATAGGTTATCATTTTGAAGAATGCATGTTTTTAAGGCCGAAAGAAAAAAGAAACCATTCCTGGTGGAGGTATTAGCATGTTCAATTGCTCAGAGGTGAGGGAACATTGTACCTTTGAGGACTGCAAGTAAGTTCGTCAACCAGAAGTGTAGATTTTATCAGAAGGCAATAAGAAATCTCTGAAGAATTTTAACACGGAAGTAACACCGGATTCATGCCTGAAAGGTATGTCTCAAGACACTGTTGTCCTTTAAAAGGAGTAGAGGAGGACTTGAAGAAGAGAGATTGGTTGTGGCGCTGTCCCTGTGATTTAACTGTTAATGAAGACTACCCTCACCAGCCCTGCCGGTGAGGATGAAGAAGGGATAGATCTAAGAGAGCTTTGAGTTGGATGTGTGTGATGAGGATGAGCAAGTCTTCCCTATAGATTCTCAATGCTTTTAGGAAATGTGTAGTGTCTTCTATTGTCGTGATGACCGAAGGTTCCTACTGGCATTAGGGGATGCTCAACTCCTATAATACACAGGACAGTTCCTCAGTGACACGAAGTGTTTTACTGAGAAACACTGTAGGGTGATAATTCTCAGAGAGCACTGGTAGGCCTGTAGTGGTAAGGTAATGAGCCCGGGTTGAGCCCTGCTAAGCTCGTTTGTGGATATCCAGTTGAAGATGTCCTCAGGCATTGGATACATGAATCCAGAATCCAGAGATAGGTTTCCGCTCTCGGAATTCTTAACAATGTTTGAGTGCATAGCCTGAAAAAGGTATAGGTTTGAGAACCTGCTGAAGAAACGAGAGGCAGTGGTTGTTGCTGACACAGTCACAGGGCACCAGCACTTAATGGGTGAATGGAGGGCGCGGAACCGGCAAGAGTGAGAAGGCCAGACAGGTCAGAGGGCAGTCTGCAGAGTGCTGTCGCTGAAGCCGGGGAAGTGACACCTTTGTCCAGGAGGAGTGCCCAGCTCTGTCAGACAGGGCAGTGAACCAAATAAAGTAAGGACAATACAGTAAGCAGTTATTTGGCAACCAGAAGGGTCTAGTGACCCCTTCATGATTAATGGGGTATGTATCAAAGGCGGGCACTGGTTGATAGGATTAAAGGGCGTGCGAGGTGAGGAAGTGGAGGAAACAGAGCAATGAATATAGCTTGAGAAGTTTCTTTTTTTAAGAATTATTTAATTTTATTTATTCTTTTTTTTTTTTTTTTAATTTGCTATAGGGCATGCATGCTTCCCAGAGCAAGAAAGAAAACAAACCCCCAGGTCCAAGTCTGACTGCTGTTGGCCATGTGGGAGTCAACGCCTTACCCACCACACCACCTGCTGGCCCGAGCTCTCTACTTTTTACAACCTCAACTATGAAACACCATACAGATACACATTCTTATTTCAGTGTATCATTTGATAGATGAATATTTATAGTTGTCATCCTTTTTTTTTTTTTTTTAAGAGGTTTTTGCTATAGGGCACGTGTGCTTGCCCGAAAGGCAGAGAGACAGAGAGATAGAAAGCAAGAAATCACCCCCCCCCCAGGGGGGATGGCCACACCGCAGTCCCTTCTCCTCCATTCTCCTCTCGGGATCTTGGGCATGCATACACACGCACCCGGCATGAGTTTAAGCCACCAGGTCCGGGACTCGAACCAGAGTCGACTACATGGGAGTCCAGCGACATAGCCATTATGCTAACTGCTGGTCCCATCATTCTTATTTTATAAAAATTAGTTTAAAAGGCAGAAAATGCTAACACTAGTAGTAAACTTGGTTCTCATTACTTTAATGCATTTGATGTAAAGTGAATTAGGCATGCTGATAATAAGAAATCTTTCGTTTCAAGTGAGTATTTATTGCACTTAAGTCTGACAATTATATGTTGGGCTAGTATATAGTAGAATTAAACAACCTGCAAGGATTATTGAGTATAGAATTTTAGAATTATTTTAGAATAATTGATTTTATCTTATTTGTTATTATTTTTAAATTTACTATAGAGCATGTGTGCTCACCAGAGAGAGACAGGGGGCGAAAGCAAGCCTGGGGTTCCAGCCTCAGTTGGCCATGTGAGGATCCAGTGCCCCAGCCACTATGTGAGAGTAGAGAGTTTTAAAGACTGCAGAAACTAAAAGGAAGTGTGATTAGGAACGATGTCCTGTATTTTAGTTCTCTTAAAGCGTGGAGGTGGGTGTGGTGGACAGTGGTGCTGCTGTAAGATGTGATGCTCCGTGAGGCCTAAACGTGGGAAGGTTCCGGGTGTGCCCAGAGGCCTCCCTGAGTAAACCGGGTGCAGATGTGCCCGTCACGCAGGGCTGGTGGAGGCCAGGTGTGGATTACAGCACCACGACCTTGTTGGGGTCCACCTCTTTGTTTCTCTTGCTCCTCGTAAAGATAAACAGGTGACGAGGAGGACTGACGGTGACACAGCAGCAAGTGCTGTGCTGGCAAGGCTGGGTCTGTGTGGAAGCCGCCATTCTGGTGGGCTCCCCAGTCCCTGCACACGGAGAGTGTGCCCGTGGTCCTGGCTCGCTGAGACGGCTCTGCCCCCTCTCATTCTCATCACCCTCATGAAAGAAGAAAGACTTGGGGTTCAGAATTTGACATTTAGACGTATTTTC